CCTGTCGCTTACAATAAATACTCGAAAATGTTGTTTGTGGTATATGGAAATAGGTTTTGATAAATTAGGTCAGATAATAAGAATTATGATTATTTATAGTGATTAGCTGGTAAGTTTTGTGTTTATATAAATTGGTTTATTCTATATGAGGCTATTTTTTACATGTAGGTTGTCGAGATGAGAGCAAAACGTGAGTAAAACACACGTAGCAGTTTTGCGCCAAGCTTAACTGCTGCAACCTGGGGAAGGTTCTCCTACTTTATAGATGACTGCTGCCAAGTAACAATCGTCAACAATCATTAGATTTTTAAGCCCCCACTGCTGGGGCATACACCTTTTCGACAGACGCAATAGGGAGAACGGCAACCTACCACGCATGCTTAGTAAGGATTGGTGAAAACTATAGACGTGTTCTTTCGATATATGTAAAAAAGTTCCATTGAGTATAAACTTTTTCACTATGTAAAAAAAACTAACTGCTAAAGTATAGCATTCTATTCAAAACAATATATCTATAAAACCGTAGGTAATGTAGGCGTTTTAGTTATCCAGAAATATAATACTATCCTGAAGTTCCATTATATTTTGCACATAATATGAACTCATAAAATATCATATATTGATAAAGTGTGCTATCATTTAAAAAAAATCTTAAGTATAAGAAAATACCCGTCAAATGAAAATAATTTACAAAAAACGGTATCGCTGGTAAAACACTACATAATAAAAGCTAGTATCATTATTTACAAACTTGACAACTTTTTTTTGTCCCTGATATTAAAAAACAGAGTATCAGTTATCATTTTTGAATCAGAGTTACTTTGTTTTTGTCAAGTTGGCCCTAAATTACGTAAAATTCACCTGTGTGCAACGGCTCGGCGTGCTTTCTAAAGCAGAGAGTAGTTTGACCATTTTTTGCTGATTCAAAGCTTAAACATAGCTCTCCAAATACCAGTGGTTGCCTATATCTAAATTTTGATAGTGCCGCAGCCAAGAATTTATTCAAAGAATCGATTGGCGGGTTTTTTTAATTTATGAAACTAATTCCCGTGAACGTGAATTCTTCTATAAATTAAAATTACACACTTAGTCCAAAGTTTCCCAGTGTCAGAGTTGCGGTATTTCGATAACTTATTCAAACAAAAAATCGAACTACCAGGTTACTACTGTATTTACTTAACCAATTCCCGTAAACGTAAATTCATCTCACACTCAGTCGAAGGTTTCCCAGTGTCGGAGTTCTGGTCTGTCGACAATAGGGTGTCTGAAAGCATTAAAAATAACGAATCGCTAGGAGGCATCTGTATTTAAAATAAATATTAGCAGCGAATTTTACTATTTCTACAGTTTTTTTTTAAATTTTACTCAAAAATCACGATAGGACATTGCTCTGCGTCCATACATAGTTAGGCTAAGAACCAACAATATTGAAATATTATTTTCTAGGTTCGAAATCGCAATTAAATGACTGTAAAAACAAAGATTATTGACGGACACTTCTGAGAACTTAAATTATTAGGAAAACTTTTTTTTTTTTGAGGTTATGTTTAATATTAAACGAAACATAGGTCAACCTATGATCTTAGTCTGAAGTGAATTAATATTACAACTAATTCATTTTATTCGGTGCGATTTTAAAGAATAACTATTAGGAAAAAATTGGTTAGGTAGGAATCATGAATAAAATAAATACTGTCGTTTTGCTTCTTATTTATTGACTATTTTTCACATAATTGTATCATATTGTATATTGTATTTATTTGTATATCACATGTATATTGTGTAAATATGCAGCTTGAATGTGTAAAATAATCGCAAATAAACACACACAACAGGTAATCCGAAACGAGAATGCACGAATGCCACAGATTACTACGAATGCAAATTGCCTGCACCACAACCACAGTATCGAGTTTTATGCCGGCCTTTCACTTGACAACAGTTTGTCCTTGTCATGCTTAATAAGGAATGAAAAGGACAGACTGATGTCGTGTTTTCAAATAGCAAATACGAATAGCCAAGTGAAGTGCCGGCTTTAGGAAGAAAGAGTGTTTTGTCTGCAGCACTGTCATAGATTATGGTATCTATTGTCTCAGTTTATTTTTTAACTTTTTAATTTAGCTTACTTAACTGGAAGTGTCCGTTACAATCTAAATACTGATAATTATCGCAAAAATATACTAAGATTTCATAAATGCCAAATTGGTGTTGGTTCTTAGGCCAATTTTAACATTGTACTTTAAAATAGTTTTGTTTTATTGTCACACGACCAAACACAGCTACGATTGGTGGAGTCTAAAATGACATCACACATAGGTAAAGCTCAACATTACCCAGGAAAACGATTATTGAAAGAATTTTTAATTTAGTTCATCTAATGATTACACAACACGATGATAAATACCACTTTTTATACAGTCCATATACATAAAGAAATAATGTAAGGTCGTTTTCAAAAAGTTGTCAAATACCTTATTTGTTAAAAGAATCGGCCTACCCAAAATTTTATTTACGACACCGCAATTTCCGTAAGCGTGAATTCATCTGTCGAAAGTTCCCCAGTGACGGTAGGGAGTTTCGATCAACGTTTCTCGTTTTGACGCAATGAGTCATGGACTCAGCATGTCCTGGCACAGGACTCGCGCTATTTCGACGCGGTTACTCACGCGGCCGGCTGCAATGATGCATTGCTACCAGTATAGACGACAGTCTTGTCTCTGTTTTGTGCGCGCGACTTGCGATAACATGTTATGTTGCGCGCCTGATGGATTTATGCACTCTGAAATGCTAATCCATTTATAAAACTGCCGCTGCTACGTTTTAATGTGAGATAACACTCATATGTATTTATGGACTGAGTGGAGAGCTCACATCGTCATCAATGCACACTGGTTTTCGTGACCCATCTCTTAATATTGCCAGGTTCGGCCACGGTCAGGGCAATATAGTAAAAATCTGTTGAGTGCAAATCAGACACAAAGAATTCCGTTTGATATTAGTTCCTAACATTTCTTAAGTTTTGCATTGCTAGCTAGTACTTCATTCATAAGAACCCCTTTATTTAACTGTAACGGTTACAGATACAGCCTGCGAACAGAAGGACAGTAGAGTACAGAACTTTAAAAATTAACTTTGTTATATTGAACCATATTTGGATATTGTGGTACATTTGTAGTTTTTTATATGTATTGTATATCACAAGAGAAGTGAAGATTTTTTCCGCATCATATATTTGTGACAACTAACAACAAATTGTTGATTTATTATGCTTCGCGCATAATATTATTAAATTTATAAGAAATTCTCTTACGGGAGTTGTATGGAAATGTGCAAACGACTTTGAAATGGAGTAGAACACAGAATTTTAAAATATATTTAACACAGATTAATTACAAAGTTCCTGGCAGATATTAAGAAATATCATCATTATCATCACTAAGGTTTCAAGGAATCCATTTCTAGGACCCGCTATGTACTAAGAATCCATAGGAAAACCTATCCCGCCAATCCCATGCGGATTGGTGGGCGAATAGTAGACGTAGATGAATATCAAACCCTAGTACAGAACTGCTGTTTTATATTAAAAATAAACATGCTACAACTTTAAAATACGTACACACAACAAAATTAAGCTGTCACTGGCTACTATTATGAAAATAGAGCGCCATCTATCGGCGGCATCAACAGCACTTTTGCAGCTGATAGGAATCTGTTAGTAAAAGCTATCTATCGTTTAAATTAGACTTGCAACGAATAGTATATTCGGCAGTATACCGAATACCGAATATTCGGCAAGGCTCCTGGCCGAATAGCCGAATATTAGGCAAAAGTATTCGGCTGGATTTTAGCGCCAAAAACTTGTACAGACGTGATTGTTTCGCGCTCCTTTGTTTGCAGTGCAATTCAGCCAAATGCAGTTTCGACAGAAATGAATCTTTTCTTAAATATTAGTAATATATGACGTTATGACAACCAGTATACATGGTGGCAGCAAGGGAATTTGAATTTCTGTGTTTGATTAAGATTGCAGCAAAATATTTGTCGGCGCCAGGAAGTAGTGTTTCTTTTCTAAAAATGCAGAAAAATTAGTCTTTCTGCACCATAACCTTCCCCTTCTATATTTTGATTATGAAAATAATTCAAATGCATAGAAAAATTCTTAACTTGTTTAATACAGAAAATTATTAAATATGTACCTGTTTATGTACCAATGACTACTTAATAAATGATTATAAAAGAAATGAGAAAAAAGGGTAACCTTTTAAATTTTACCACAATAATTCAAATACATAGAATCCTCCATTTTTCCAATTCAGAAGATGATTATGTATCTGTGTTATGTACCAATGACTACTTAAATGATTATATTTAACAGAAATGAAAATATGAATATATACGTAATCAATCGATTTTAATTTTTCATTTTATTAATTATTCCTCTATGACAAAATATATTATTTAAGTATTCGGTATTCGGCCGAATATAATAAAAGCAGCCGAATAGGCCGAATACCGAATAGTAACCGAATATTCGTTGCAAGTCTAGTTTAAATACTTTTTACAAAAGTTTTAGTGTAATCTATCCAATGTTGCTTTATCAAGGTTACTAAAGATTGCTCCCAGCTGATTGTGGAATCGAAAGATTGTATTAATAATAACCCTTTAATTAAATTCATTCTGTGCTATGGGGCAGATTACTTGTACAATTGAACAATATCAATGTTATTTGAAAACTTGGGATTGGCAGAACGCAGTGAATTTGCTCAATGCGAGGTATAAAACGAACGAAAAAAAGTACTTCTTTAAAAATAAAATTTATATGTTTGTTTTAATTTGTTATCAAAGAAAAATGGTGATTCTATTAATACAAATACTTTCAAAACAGCATAGCTGTAGGTTCTGTAGTAAGCTTAATACTTTTAGTGAATTTCACAATTATTTTATCAATTCCGTGTAAAATATTATTATATAGTCAAAAATTTAAATCATGCAACACTTACCCAAAATCAGGAATTTATCAAACCCGAGTGTGTTTTTGACTCCTACGTAATCATCGTACTCGTTTTCCCAGGTATTCTACAAGAAAAAAAAATACATATTTTTATTAATAATAGTCTAAATAATTAAATATATACATTTCATATAAAATTTTACACACATACACATGTATTTTGTATGGATTTAATATCTTAATAATCAAAAATCAAAACTATTTCGATTCAAACTTTATGGCTGTTGTAAAGTTTGCAATCTATACTAATATTAAAAAGATGAATAGTTTGTTTGTTTGGTTGAACGCGCTTATCTCAGGAACTACTGCTCTGAGATGGAAAATTCATTTTGTGTTGGATAGTGCATTTATCGAGGAAGGCATAGCCAACAAACTATGACGATTAAGCGCGGAACATCGATGAAAAATGTTGCGAAATCGGGGAAAAATAATCCATTTGAGCGCTTCCGTTGCCTAAATAGTTAAAGTTACGCAAACATCATGTATGACGGAATTGTTCCTCTTTCAAAATCTCATTTTTTTGTTTGACTCACTATATACTATTTCCTCAAATTAACCACATTCATCGACTGTTTGGCGACAAGAAGTTCGCCGGTCATCTAGTTATATATTCCTTGGCCAGCTGTACCCTAAGCCCAAACTAATATCGAATTCGATCTTGATTCGCGTCAAATGTCAAGAAATTAGTGTTTAGGAAATTTTACGTCACCAGTTTGCGCCTCTGTGACAAGTTTCTTGCGCGAATTATTCGAACGAGCATTAAAATCCATAGACCATGACGACATACGTGATTTCACGGATGAGTAGACCATTCGCCTCAGTGCTGCCACCGGGCGCCCGTCATTCCAGATAACTCTCATTTGTGCTACTGATTTTTAGTTCTCGTTACGTCCGTTGTGGCACTGTCAAGTTTTCATACAAAATTCTCGATGACGATTCGCCCTCGCAAACGTAACGAATTCGATATTGGTTCGTGCTAAGGCTACTGTAAGATAAACGCTAATGCCAACTACTGTCTGTTGAAATGCTTCCTCTCTTTCACACTGCTGCCCGTTGGTCGTGTCCATAGAAAAATAACAAAGATTCAGTCTACTATACTTCGACACTTGTGTGAGATTGACAACTCTCTAGAAAGAGAGCAAAACAATCAATACATGGACAAATTATGGACCGCCCGATCGCTTCATCTCCCTCACGCTCTCTGCCCAGTTTTACTTCACGTTTGATAAGAGAGCGTGCAGAATTTCATTCTCTATGGCTAGATTTTATTTACTGCGCTGAGACTTCTGCCAACTTCACATCCACCATTAAGTTTGAATAGCGATTTAATTTAAATAATAAAGTCCACGAAAGTCCAAGAAAAGTTGCTGTATCAATGTAGAACAGTTTCTACTAAGGTTGTAAGGACTTTCCTCGTAAATAGTCCTAGCCACTCAGCACCAGAGACGCTGATGTCGGTAAGACTATTTTTGGTTACGAAGATACATACACACTTGAAAGAGTTTAAAAATAATTATTTTCTATACCTGTTATCCTAACCGGTGCCTAAGATAAGTTCTTGTTTAAAGGATAGGATTTTCTAGATATATTTGGAAAAAAAACATAAAAGAGAAAATATAATTGAACACGAGTTCATGATGGTCCAACACTTCTCATCTATTTAAGGTAAGCAGAACTTATTGATAAAAGTCAGTTAAGCTTTCAAGCAAGTTGCTTTTAGTTTCCTACTGGCTTTAATAGCAGTATTGATAATGGCCCTATTGGCGTTCCGTAATGCTCCCCTTTACCACCGGCGAGACGAAGCTTTGGTACTAAATGCGCTAAAAATTAAAGTACGAATTTTTAATTAGTTCTATCGTAAGTACGCCCCTTCGCCTATTGTCTCCAACAACCGTGAGTCAAATCAACCCAGTAAAGCTTTCGTCTAACCAGGGATGGGCAGGTTTTCCTTATCCATTCCCGTACAATATGTACAATAAATGAATCAAATCAAAATATAGCTCAGAAACGAATACCCCTCACAATGAGAGAAATAAGAAGGTATCAGGTTCGGCAGCGGGCTGGTCCTTGTTAGATAAATGTGAAAAAAAATACTATTTGTTGATAACCCTTTTTTTTCCAACATTAACGCAAATTAATATAGCCCCAAAGTAAGCACTGTAGGCTTGTCTTATGGGATACTAGAGTAACGGATAGAATACATATACTGATACTTATATAAGTATATTAACTGACCCAGCGAAATTCGTACCGCCTTAAAAATAGGGGCAGGTGGTAGAAGAGAAAATTTGGGGTTGTATGTATTTTTTAATACCACATTATAAAAAGATAAATATTGTCCTAAAAAATTTTAGGGGTGTGTAACGTAGTGTTCTATCAAATTCCTGGGATAACACTCCTCCTCACCCATATGAGAACACTACGTCACAATACCCAATAGTTTGAATTTTGTCGCGAAGGCGTATTGTAGGTTTCAGAACACTACGTTACAGGTGGACAAACATTATCACTTAAGGATATGAAAAATAGATAGTAGCCGATTCTCAGATCCACGGAATATGCATATAAAATTTCATAAAAAGCGGTCAGGCCGTTTCGGAGGAGTATGGTAACTAACATTGTGACACGAGAATTTTATATATAAGTTTTATATAGAAATTATTATTAAACATCCTTGACTGAAGTACAAATGCTTGTATTTATCACACAAACATCTATCTCCACAGGGATTCGAACCCGGGACCTCTCGAGTAGGCAACACCTTGAAACCCGGCGTATAATGGTCGCGGGCCAGATTTCTACCTTTCGAGAGCCGGAGCTGACCCGCGGGCCGTAGTTTGCACATGCCTGTTTAACGTCTTTCATTACCAAGCTCGATAATTCGATGCGATCACAGAACTATTATACCCTTAGCACGAACCATTATCGAATTCGAAAAGTTTGCGAGTCCGAAATCGTTGCATCCGCTGTGGCGCTGCTTTGAACAGCTTTGTTTCCGTACAAAATTTGACATTTCGCATTGGCATTTTTTTTTAATGCTTAATAGGCAAGGCGTTTGACCACAGTCTCGCCTGATGGAAACCGATGTTGAGGCCTAGGCCTGCCTAGAAGATACCTGTTTACTCTGGCCTGGAAGATCCAGATTATATTGGTCCGGGAAAACAGACCTCGGCAAGGAGTTCCACTCCTTAGCCGTTCGCATAATAAAAGCGGAAGCAAATAGCTTCGTGTGAATAGGAGGAACTTCGACAACATAAAGTACTCTTAATTCAATATCGATTAGTGTTATTATTATTTTTATAATTCGGATTGCAGTACACGCCGCATGTACTTATATTTATGTCAGATTTTCAGTACTCACGAGAGCAAATAAGTGGCGAAAAACCATTGTTCACCTATTGCAATTCTATCGTTTTTACAGTTTAATATGACATAGTTACATATACACACATCAAAAGTGTCTAGGGATCAAGCATTTTTATGCGGATTTCTTGAGATTGAGATGTGGCTTTGTAATAAATTTATGATTTTATAAATTTATATGGATCCTTTTTGGTGCATTTCATAATTTGAATCAGGAACTGTGAATCAAATTCGAGTAAAAGATGAAAATCAGCTGTCAATATTTTCCCTATAAAAACATACAACGCATTGAAGACATTATTAGTGCTACTGTTTCCCTACTACTGATTAAAACCAACGTTATTATGGAGCGGCGACGTCATTTAAGCAGGGAAGAAATGCTCAGAGCCGTGGGAATGATAGAAGCTGGTTCCCGGCAACGTACTGTGGCTTTAGCTCTGAATACAAGTCAGAGTGTTATCAGTCGACTTTGGACACGATACCGAAGCACTGGTACCGTGGCTGAGCGCCATGGAGGACGGTATCGCTGCACCACACGGAGACAAGACCGATACATTCAAATCTTAACTCGAAGAGCTCCAACAATAACCGCCATGATGTTAGCCGTGAGGCTTCATCACTCTTCAGGGAACTTAATTAGCGACCAAACAGTCAGAAACCGCTTGCATGAAGTGAACCTTCATTCCCGAAGACCGCTACGGGTACCACCTATAGCAATGCACAAACGTAGGATTCGATATCAATGGGCTCTTGAACACAGAAATTGGGCAGAAGAACAATGGCGTTTCGTGTGCTTTTCTGATGAGTCTCGTTTTGGTATGAGACCGGATACAAGACGTATACGACACTGGAGAACCCCTGGACGCCAACAGCGATTAAAATCCTGCCAGGAAGTCCATCCTTATAGTGGTGGAACCATCATGGTATGGGCGGGTATTTGGATCGGCGGAAGAACTGAGTTGATTTGGATCAGAGGCAACCTCAACGCTCAAATTTATGCTGAGACGATTGTATCAGACGTCATCGTTCCTCTACAAGTGCAAATCGGTCCCTTATTTCAGTTAATGCATGATAATGCACGACCGCACACCGCAAGAGTTGTAAGACAGACTCTCGCCGCAGCTAACATCAATGTCCTGCCCTGGCCTGCTCAGTCGCCAGACTTGAACCCGATTGAGCATGCATGGGATATGCTACAGAGAAGAGCTCTGCCGAATATGGAGGGTATCCAGTCGCAAGAAGACCTTTTTTTGTTGTTGCAACGAACATGGGCGGCCATTCCACAGCGTGATTTGGATGAACTCATTTTGAGTATGCCAAACCGATGTTCTTGTGTTGTTAGTGTTCGCGGTAGAAATACGGATTATTAATTGTTTAAGTTACCCAATAAAATTTTAGAGAAAACTGTTATTTCAGTCTTTTTTTCGAACTTTTGTGTTAGTGGTTCAAATGTCAAAAATCCCTTTATTAGGAAAATGGCAAATTTCTTTATTAATGCAAAGGTGACTTGGTTTATCGTTACTGTGACAAACGAAAACACTTTATTTGATGAATCCTTAAAGAAAATTTTAATTAATATCAATCAGGAGAAAAGTTATTGCAAAAATATATGTTGATCCCTAGACACTTTTGATGTGTGTATTTTAAACATTAAGATTAACGTCCAGTATCGAGAACGGTGACGCGAAGAAATAATTAAGCGGAAATGGAAGACCATTGGTCAACCTTTTGGCACGCGAAGTACATACACTTGCGTTATTTATTTAGATCTATGGCTGTGGTTATGATATAATTAATTCCAATTTCGAATGTAAATTTAAGCGCATTTAGGACCAAATCTTCGTCCAGCTAATGTGGGAAAAGAATAAGAGCATTTAATATTAAGCAATGCAACATCTCTTTGAATTTGTTACATGATTAAAGGAAAATAACACTGATTTTTGGTTGTGTTGCGTTAAGTATAAGCAGGTAAGTAAGGTTCCAGAGCTCCACAGGGTAGAAATTGTTGTTACAACTAGTACGGCATTCTTTTCTGCCGCATCTTCGGGATTAGACTCCAGACATTGAACATCAGGTACTAGGTACTTTTCAGCGCTTTGTAAAAAAGCAGTTATGTTAGGTATTGCATTCATTGGACTAGAATTGTGAAACGTGCGCGTTATTGGGGTAAATTGATTTCATTCTATCAGTTTTTTAAAGCTGTATTAACTAGCATTAAGTTATGACTGTATGTGTGCATTGCTGCTTATTGAAATCGTAACATAGAGAAAAATATTGGAGTATTCTGAGTAATTTGCTAACCCTGTATAAAGAAATAATCAGTACGAGCTTACCGGATCCACTTCTATTTGTAGAGGCATGTGATATCTCGGGTCAACGGCTCGGGGCACATTTCCATTGTACACGTTTAAAGGTGTCATTGGGCTGTTAGCCGCACTCAATCGATCACAATAGTTCTGATTGTAGTCCTCTTTCCTCAAAGAATTAGAGTTGCTATTTGCAGATAGGCTTCGGGGCGATAGTTTATCGTTCTCCCTGATCCAAAATTGTTCTAAATCGATATGCCTAGGATTCATATTTCCAATGTTGTAATTCACTATTGGTGAAAGTCTCCGTGGGGACGAGCTTTCGCTGAAAACTATAGGGCTTCGCACTATCCGCAGCGAATCCTGAGGAGTGCTTCCTTCACCCGGGGTCAATCTATCCAGTGCCGGGGAACCGGGAGATTTGTTTAGGGGGAGCCCCATTGCAGATCTTCCAGCTTCAGTGTCTATTCTTTTGAATTGCTGAGGGATTCTTATGGGTCCGATGCGGTTGAATGCTTCCACTTCTTCTTTAGTCAAGGCAGCCGTTTTCGTTTGAGCGCCGACCGCCATTAAATTCTGGAGTTTGTTGACTTGCGTTTCTACTATGCTTCGCGGTCGGGGATTTTCTGGGGAATGCTGTCTGAGAACGACGGTGGGGTTTATGGCGATGGCTGGGGAAGGAGTGGGGGTGTGCGAGGGAGAGGGAGGGTCTTGAGAGAGCGCGATCTCGTCTCGAGTGTCACTCAGCATGTATTCGTCGTCGGAGCAGGATGTATCGTCGTCCTCGCAGTTATCGTAGTCTATAGGAGTGTCAGCGCCGGGGAAAAACTCGCACAGCGCGCCCATTATTTCAACGACCTGCGAATGAGTATTTTTTATTGTTTTTTATTTACCAGCCCCATCGTATCCTGACCATAAAATTTTCCTATTATTATAGAAAATTTTTGCTGCTATATTGCCAAACACATCAGCCTCCTTACAATTGAGGGTTGGCTAATGAAGCCTTGCAAATGAGGTTAGTAACTAATAATGTAAATAATTAATAATCTAGATAAATTTAATCTGTTTCCCTACTGTCGGCCACACGCAAAATGGAGTCGAATTGCGGAAACACCCGTTTCAAAGAAGTCCCTTCTAACGAGTCAGATGCTTTTCCTTTAGAATTTCAGTATAAAACGACATGGTAAAGCTGAGACAATGGTGAGACTAACTATTGGCTCGATTACACTTGGTCGTTAGCCCGTATTCGAGTCCACGAAAGACATAACTCGAATTCGGGCACCCCCCCAACGGTGTCGGGTAAACAAAAACTACCCAAATGCGGGAGGGCGTACTCCGTTTATAGCCACTCAGTTGTTTACCCGAATTCCATTAGCAATCGTTTTCGGGCCAACGAAACGTAATTGAGCCACATGGTTTAAACAAAAAGGATCAAAGGATCAGTAATCATAATGTACAGTGTAATAATAATAAGACATATAATATGGAGTTTACGCAAAAGTTGACCAATACTTTCATTATACATTTAAATAAGAAAACACAATGTATATTAAGATGTAGTGTACTTAAGATAGTTTTACTTACTTCTGCCATACTAGGCCTCTTCGAAGGCATTTTATGCCAACACTGTGTCATTAACTGTTCAATTGGTTCTGGACAACCCTCAATAAGATCTGGTCTACGACCTGTAAAATATAAAAGAGAATAACAGAAAAAAGTTTAACGCGTCATTTCTGTCTCGCACACATTGGCGTAGCGTAACGTTTTCAACACATTTGCTCAAAAAATGCATTTACGGAGGTTGTATACCCTGTTCGAAAGTTCAAAATTACGGTAAAACATTTTACCGCACGCTCCCATACATGGTGCCGTGCCTATTCTTTACGGTTATTTTTTATTTCGGTCGAACTTCCTATAAAGCGCTTTTCATAATATAGTTTTGTCTCACTTTTTTACGAGATGTAGTTCAAATTTCGCCACCCGCACGTGGCGCCATTTGAAAATGCGCATCATTTTTCTATTAGAAAACAGTTTAGTTCATTATACAAATGAGGTTTAGGTACTATTTTCTCGCAAATGTGTTGAAAAACGTTGTATGATATTCGTGCGGATTGGTATTTACAAACTCGTGACTACTCCGCACTAATATCATAAATAACTATTGTAAACGAAGAAAGAAGGAGATAGCACTTATTTCGTTTCGTTAAATTAATTATGCAATGAAAAGACCAATGTTTCATTTCGTAATATGCGCCGTGGCTGCTTCTGCAGTAATTATGCAGCATGAGCGCGCTCAATCGTTGGCAAAGCCTACTTATGCGCGCCGAGGTTGATTGCATTGTTTAGTACTCCATTGTGAATTCATACAAAGCAGTGCCACCACATTGTGTTAATGTCTGCTGCTAACGAAGGGCTCAATCGCTGTCAACGGAATATTTAACAAGTTTAATACGTATAAACTCTTCAAGCCCTAAGAACTACATTTATAGGACACGAAGAACATGATTCCTGTCTTATAATCATTCATCATTTTTATTTATCATTTTCAAAAAGTTATTGGACATCTATCGTCAATTATTGGCATGGTTAAGAATTGGAGTATGTAGTTACAAGGACAATAATGATACCCATAAACAAACAAACATGATTACGAAACTATAGTTAAAATTAAAAATTTATCAAAGGCAAGACTATGGTTTGTGTCATTCATGTAATTTCATGCCATGAACACTTGTATAGTTTGAATGTGTGCCTTAATTAATGTAAAATCTACTCCAGTGTATAAAAGTTGTATCATAGCCTTAACATGTATTTAACTACTAACCTGTATGCACAGCCCACATGATTCTGTATGCTGAACCACCTTCTTCAAAAGGTTTCCTCCTGGACAATACTTCCCATAATATAATACCCCACGAAAACACATCACACTTTTCTGTGTATGTGGAACCCTCAAAAACCTGAAATAAGCAAATGATAATAAATTATTAAATTCTATCCACACACCCAATTCAGTGAGAAAAAGCATTAAAAATATGGTAGAGTCAGATGCCAAATTTCCCTTGCAGATAGCAAGACTGCAGGGGTCTAATTGTGCAGTTCTTCCCTTTAACTATCCCTTTAATTTTATAGTGGAGAAACTCATTATACTTCAAATTATCTCATTGATACTTCAAATTAGAAGGGGAAAGTGAGAGAGTCAAAGTTAGACAATAAGACACCAGTTGGGATTAAGACACTACTGGAACTACAGAACAGATTAAGGGCCTTGTGTGCGGGGCAGGCGCGCCACAGTTATGTGTGAGCATATGCTCATAAATTGAGCAAAACTTGGTTTTGATTGCATCGTTGCTCTCAGGTGCAAGTGCTGATTAGGTCGATTTTTTGATGTCGCGTCGTTTGATTGGCTATTATCTATTAGGTGGAAGTATTTTGGCGGCGAGCCAGTGACATCGGTCCCGTAAAAACGGTCTATGAGCACCCTTCTAACCTGTTTCTGTTTTCTGAGACTAGGACAGATGGTAAACAATTACTATAACAGTTGACTTGGTAGACAACAATAGACATACATATGATGCTAAATGAGCAGTGTTAAGCAGAAAGCAACCAATGGGCATTTTGGGGGTCAAACAAAATCAAACTTAAAAGTACGTTCATAGAACAAATTTTAGCTTGCTCGAAAAATGCTCACTGGTCGGTTTCTGCTTAACAACATTCAAATGTATCGACATAATTATGTGTCTAAATCCAAACCAATCAAATGAAAATATAATATTCTCTCAGTTACATCTTCACCACCATCATGACCACTGCAAGGGGTAATACATTTATGTAAATACATACTGATGATAATAGTTGTGATTTAAATAAATCACAACTATTATCATCAGTCTGTAAATGTCCCTTCTGCTAGTGAAAAGCACAGGCCTATGCAATGGATAGAATCACATAAGGAAAATCCAACACAGTATGGATCCCAAGTTTATTGGTTAACCATAGAAAAAAAAATAAGTATTTTATATGCTTTGATTCATAGCTCTGCCATGTTTCAGAAGGCACTTCAAACCATTATTTCCAGCTGCTTCTGCAGTTGTTAGCACCTATAAATTTGCACTGGGCCTGCATGGTGGCTCATGGCCCATTCTCCCTATGCCATCCATAGGAAATGCTTGTGCTTCAGGAGGACATAAATAGGCTGTTGAAGTTGGAGATTATTTCATACACAATGTAGCTCTTATCCAACTAATGGTGGCGAGTAAACCTTCCAAGTACCAGCACAATAAAGATATAGATACATACGCTGCCATTTATAGACACACAATTGATTTTTGGATAAGATTCACCTTCCGGCACACCAAATGTATTAATTTGGTTTGTTAAAACTTTGTATAAAGAAGAACCAGAAAGAACACCAATGGCTTTCAGACTAAAAAATTGCAAACTAAATAACTAAACTTTTTCAAATTAAACACAATACAATAAAAAATAAAACATTTATTATTTTATTGTATTGCCTGCTATATGATTTTACTCATTAAATTTTCTTTTTCAGAAATAGGTGGATTCTTAATTTTTATTTCTAAAATAAAGTTTAATCTATTTAATTAGAATATCTTTATGCTTTGTCTTAATAAGTAAGTAGCAGTGTAAAACCAGTGCAGCAAAAGTGCTTAGTCAAAAATGTTAAGCTACTTCTTTGACTGATATCTTTAACTTCGTTTTCTGCCATGGTAAAAACAAAATTTTGTATCTACTAAGGCCCAACTACAGATGATCAACACAAGATAGACTTGTCTAGTATTCTCATCTATCAGTTATGGATATCTATTCTCATGTAAATGTGTTTGCAGTGTGCTGCACTCTGTGGACTACTCATGTAATATTTTGATATGCATTGCTAATTATTTATGAAGGGCATACATAAATATAAATTGACTGTGACATTCAAAGCACTTCTAACTAACACAGACTCAATTTTACACATTTTAATTTTAACTTCAATTTTTTTGCACATTTTTGTATATTTTAATTTAGGTATTGCAAGCAGATAGAAGAAATTACCATATATTCACTTCGTTAAAAGTTATTGATACAGTACTTTTTTAACACTCTCTGTAAAATTCAAATGAGTGATTTCATCAAAACATGCAGAAATAGACTTAAAGTTATAGTTGTAAAAAGTCAATTTCTTAACAAATCTAAGATAGGAGGTATTGGTGTTTTGCCATTGAAATATAAAATGACATGTTGAATATTTTATATCATTCTCACCTCTGGAGCCATCCATGCAGCACTGCCTTTGTTGTTGGTCATGTATGTTGCCTTATCAGCTGCTGTACCAAAATCACATATTTTAAGACATAAACCATTTGCAACCAGCAACAGATTAGGTGGTTTTAGATCTCTGTGTATCAATGGTTTTGGTTTCATTGCATGAAGATATGCTACACCCTGTAAAAAGCCATTCAAACATTATAAATAAGGCACCAAGAAAAGGATCTAAAAAATAAAATCAAACAGTATACTAGATTGATAAACCCAAAACTAGTATGTACAAACATTTCATATTACCTCAGCACACTGCCTGGCCCAGCTCATTGCATGAGCTGCAGTATATTTAGGTTTAGGACGGTTGTGTAGAACATTGTACAATGAACCTCCTTCAGCATACTCCATAACAAGGCAAACATGAGCGCCTTTAGTACACGCTCCATACAGTCTAACAATGTTTGGGTGACAAACGCGGGACAGCTGACGAACTTCTATGGCAAACTCTCGTTTCTCAGCTTCAGAATTGATATGCTTTACCGCCACAAACGTGTTTCGCCATAGTCCTTTCCAAACTACACCAAAAGCGCCTTTGCCAACTACCTGCTTACACAATCTACGTGTCAATATTAACCCAAACAGTTGTAGGTAAAACTGAGTAAATACTTTAGTAGCATAATTACCGATAGCTCTTGTATTTCACTATAATCAATCTCCTCCACAAATGTCTGCTGAACGGGTAAATCGTGCACATTGGAAGCCATGAGTACACTTTATTATAACATTATCAACACGACTAACTAAGATAAAATCAACGTTTCAATATAGGTTTGTCAAATTATTTGTTACGAATAAAAATAGTTGGTTAGATCAATTTTCTCAGTATTGTTTGGCAGAAAAAAGCAACTGTGACATGACCGCCATCTTTGAAACTGAAGAACAATTCACCACAGACAACCCATTGTCTAACTCTATGCTATTCCATTCCATGGACCAGTGGTTCTCAAACTTTTTAAATGACGGAACCCTTTTGGGAAGCAAAATACTTGATGGAACCCTACAATAAAACAATTATTTTTATAAGTGTATTCTATATTAATCAGCATAATAAAAGTACAATGTATCCGTTACTAATTATTATTTACTTCACCACTTGGTAAGGACAATAATAGAAAACATTAAAAAAGAAAAAATCTAACTAGTGGGAGGTATGAAACTGTTTTTTATTTTTCATCAATTGCTTGATATCAGGTTTGATGGAAGAAAGTTGGAGTCTCATATCAGCTTCGGCGTCCAGTCTATTGCGATATTTTGTTTTCGTGGCTGCGTAGGTAGAGAATCCTGTTTCGCACAAATATGTAGTTGGGAACGGGAGAAGAATATCCAGAGCCATTTGGCCAAGCATTGCATATTCATCTTGGATTCTGCACCAAAAATCATTAAGAGGCGTCGTTTTGAACAATGACTCCATACTTGTGTCTGATGACATTTCTAAAAGAGATTCATATATCTCATTTGACATGTTTTCAGGCTTTTCCAAGTTGGGTAAAAAAGGATTATGAATCCAGGAGTTCACTTTAATTTTTGTATTGTGTTCTTCGGGAAAATACTTTTCAAAAGATGCGCGCATCGAACTGAGATATTGGACCAATTCTTCAAACACATTATCTTCAAACATTTCTGAGTCGTTTTCGCTAACAAACTCAGTGAGTAACGTAAAACTTTCTATTTCTTTCTTACCAATGCAAATGATCCAAAAATCTAATTTTCTTTTAAAAGTAGTTATTTTATTATAGGCCTGAAACACTGTTGTCTGTTTACCTTGCAATGATAAATTTAATTCGTTAAGTTTTTGAAAGATATCCGCCATAAAAGACAATCGGAACAACCAAGTTTTATCATACAAACGGTCCTTCAAATTAAAAGAAGTATCTGCTGAAAGAAACATTTGTAACTCGGCTCTAAGTTCAAATAGCCTTGTTAAAGTTTTTCCCCGAGACAGCCATCGCACTTCTGTATGGAGCAGCGGTGTTTTATGTTTGCTGCCATAATCTTCACACAATAATGAGAACAATCGGGATTGTAGTGGTCGTGATTTGATAAAATTAATTATTTTTACCGCTTCATCCATAACTAATTTTAGATTAGACGGCATTTGCTTCATCGCAAGTGCTTGTCTATGCAGAATACAATGACTGGAACTACAATTAGGCGCTTTATTTTTCATTCGTGACACTGCTCCTGCTGTTTTACCTGTCATCGCCTTGGCCCCATCTGTACAAATGTCAATGCAATTGTTCCAACTGAGATTATGTTCTTCAAAAAATATATTTATTTTATTAAAAATTTCTTCCCCGGTAGTGTTTGTAAGCAGCGATGAACACATAAGCATGTCTTCTTCAAAAGAACTTTTATATGGATATCTCACAATAACCAGCAGGATAGCCAAACCAGCGACATCAGTCGACTCGTCCATTTGCAAAGCGAATCGTGTATTTTGTAGACGTGTAACTAGTTCTTGTTTGACGTAGCTTGCCAGATCATGGATTCGTCGTGAAACAGTATCGTTTGATAGCGGAACAGTAGAAAGATGCTTTGCAGATTTTTCATCAAGCATACATTTTGTTATGTCTAATACACATGGTTTTATTAATTTCTCAGCGATAGTGTGCGCTTCACCTGCTTGTGCAATGCGATAGCTAACTAAGTATGATGCCTCCGTGGCCTTTTCGTTGGTAGTTTGTGTTACATGCATCATATTTTTTTGACTTTCTAATAACTGATCTTTTTTGCGAACAAAAAATTCTTTATTCTTGTCTTTAGTCTCGGGGTGTACGGTTTCTAAATGTCGACGCAATTTGGCAGGTGCCATGGAACTATTAGGAAGCAGTTTACTACAGAGCATGCAGAGAGGTGAGCCGTTGGAATCAACAAATCCGAAACTGATATAAGATTCATCATACTTCCTTTTTTTCGTCTTTGAAACCGTCGAGCTTGACGTCGTGGCACTCGTGGCATCATCTTCTGGATCGGTGATTGCTAAATTCTCCGCGCGCATTGCTTTTGAACATTCAGCGTCATTAGAAGATGTTGTTGGAACACGTTTAACACCTTTAAGCCAACGTTCCATTCTTCTTTATTTATAATGTTACAAGTCAGGATAGTGGGGTTTAAATAATGCACAATCGTTACTGCGTATAAGAGACTAAATTTAGAACCTACAGGGAAGAAATGTATAAAACTGAGACAACAGAATACAGCAGGCAGTAAAACAATGAACACCAGTTTCTCGCTAGCGAGCTTGTAAGTAGGTAGTAACTTATCGCTCCGAACGCTAATCATCAACTGACGACGCCAACGCGCGATCGCCGCTTTTATACTTAGTCCTAGACTCGATCTCAAATATTCTCGAAAATACTCGAGTCGGCACCTTTGATAAACAAAAAGCAAAAATAAAAACAGAAATTTAAAAATAGCGTTGTAAACAATATCGACTTTATCCTTTGAAGTTAGAGACGAAAGTCGCTAGTTGACAACTATAGCGTCTAATTCAGAGGCGGCTTTTATCAAAGAGACTGAGCGCTTACAAGTATACTACCCGCTCGTTTTAAGTTTGCCGCTGGCGATAGGTATGAGTGTATGACGTTCGAAATTTTTTATTTAATTGTAACAATAAAAATTGTGTACGTTAGATATTTGGGTAAAACTATGACACATTATAAGTTTTGTTGTCACGTGGGGGAGGGTACGCGCATTCCACAGACCGGCAAACTTAGAGCGAACGCGTTGTACAAGTATAAAATTGTTGAGACCAAACTTATGAGATATTGTACCAGCTAATGTAACACAAGCTTATACAAATACAAATAAATAAATAAATAACATTCATAGCGTTTTGTCTCCGCGCGGCCGCGGAGTCCGCACAGCCGCGGAGCGACCAGAGAGAGGTGTTTTGATTTTTTTATTTCTAAATTCTTGCGGAACCCCGACAGAGGTATCACGGAACCCTAGGGTTCCGCGGAACACACTTAGAGTATAGCTGCCATGGACCTTAGACCATCCATGGACCAATAAATTATACCTACTGATCCACTGCTATGTACAAGTAGTTATCTCACAACAAAAATAAATAGGTATTTGTAGGTATAATGCGATTCAACTAAAAATAGGACCGACTGGGCGCCATATTGTGATGTCATAGCTGTCAATTCAAACCGAATAGGAAGAGTGAGCATAAAGTTTTTATTTAATAAAACTTATTTTATAGCACAGTGGGACCTAAACTAATATAAATACTACTCTTTGACCTAAACCCGCACTTTACGCACGCTTTTCTGTGACCTAAGTTGCCTATTTCTGCACGGTGTGTAAATGAATTGACCAACTTCACTCATGTAGAATTAGTACATTACGATACGCGTAACTTAACTTTACTATGCCAATCAAGGAATAAACGTTCATGGATACATTGAAATTCTATTTTGTTGTAATGATATTTGATTTTTTACTTTTGAAATATACTTTCAAAATGGTAATCTGAACCGGAATTCTTTCTTTTCAGAGTTTGACTTGCAGTCTGTATTGCAATTCTTTGTGATTGCAATACATGAATTTTACTTTCAAAACACTAATCGCAACCCCCCCCCCCCCTCTTACCCGCGTCCGGGGCGGGTTTATGTCACACTTGCTATAAAATAGTATACGATACTTGTGGCCTAAGTTGTCTATTACTGCACGGCGTTTAGTCACGCGTATCGTAATGTACTATACTAAGATTAAGTGAAAAATAACATCAGATTTTTTTAATAAAATTTATTTACTGAGATTGAGAAAATAAAACAACCGATTATATAATAAATATTATTAAATAATTAAATATTTTTAAATAATTAAATATTTTTAAATAATTAAATATTTTTAAATAATATTTATTTATTAAGTCCGCTCATCTCTGCATTACCGCCGGAGTAGTTATGGATAATCATGCACTATTACTAGGTCACATACGAACATGCATCCTTTATGTAATCGAAAGTTTCAAATCGAGTTTCTGAACGCAACTTAAAATGAGATTTGGTTGATGATTTAAGTTCAAACATTCATAGCCAAATTTCAATAAATGAAAAAAAATATCAACCAATATTAATTATCAATATTTTTTATTGTTTGTTTACAAATGTTTGATTTTTGTTCTAGAATTAGCTCAGCGCTAAAAAAGATTTCAAGATTTTTTTGCTTACTGTACTTTTCAAGCGACATTTAACAAATGGAGGTCATTTGCTTTTCTATTCTTATTTGAATCGGATTATAGCGATATTTTTATATTTTAAGCATTTAACTGCTTGATGTTTAAATCGTAAGAAAATTCCACGCGGACCAGTCAGCAGACTGGACTCAAACCCGCACCCTTCGTAACAAAGTTATTTTGTTAATAAAATTAAATACAATTTATTTACTTAATATTTACTTAGCCGTGTCAAATTTTCTCTAGCATTTCTTAGGCTGCAAGGCAGCGCCATATCTTCGTATTATAGGTAATACAATGGTGTCGATTCTGGCGTAATTCTCTAAACTTAAAACTAAATTTAACATCAGTCTCTCCTTTTCAGTCTGTATAGCGAATGACAAGGATACACTGCTGTCAAAATTAAATTTAGGTTTAGAGAATCATGCTGGAATCGACACCAATATCGAATTCGTAACGATTGCGAGTACGTAATGTCATTGACGAATGTGTACTGTTATTTAGTTCTCGTTACGCGCGTTTTGGCGTTGCTATTCAAGTTTCCATATAAAATTTGACAATGACATTTCACACTCGCAAACTATTCGAATTCGATATTAGTTCGTGCTAAGGGTACTGTAGTAAAGGGTTTACAGTAAAGCTTAGCCTAAATTACATTAAGCTAATGGAAAGTGACT